TGCGGAGGCAGGTGTAAACCTGTGCCAGTGACTCACCCACTAGCAGGTGGCCTTGGCTTTCCAAAGAAAACACTTCCTGGGGTTTCCAGGCTAATACAATTTCCTCTCCTTTAATGCTTTCAACAAAGGCAAATTTTGAATTGTACCATTATTTTTAAAACACTTTAAAATCTGTTGCATAAATAGGAAATAAGGGAACATCAAGATCCCTCATGCTTTCTACCTCCTCCAGTTGCATTTGATAGTTTGATATGTATCCTCCGGTGTGTTTTCTATGCATGTTTATTTCATGTTTGGCATAATTGGGGTGATGCCTGGTATAAAGTCTGCCTTTTTTCACTTAACCCATTAGCGTGAATTTACTCCACATTTTAAAAAATATATTTTTATTAGTTATAGGTGGACACAATGCCTTTATTTTATTTTTTTTTGTGTGGTGCTGAGAATTGAACCCAGTGCCTCACACATGCTAGACAAGTGCTCTACCACTGAGCCACAACCCCAGCCCAAATCTTCTCCAATTTTTTAAAAGATTTTTTTTTACATCACGATTCTTAAAGGCTACATAAATGTACAAATAAATTTCTAACAAATTTTCTCTTTTTTTAATATCCTTTATAGATTCATGTCTTATTTCAAAATTCTAGAAGTAGGGAAGTGATGAGTCAAAAACAAGGCATATTTTTAAAGAGTTTTCTAAATTAACAGGGAAATTTATGAGTTTTTCCTGAAAAGTGGCTATTTTTTTTCTACAGCCTTGACAACACTGGAGATTTTTTTCAAATTTAATTTAAAATGATTATTTCTCATTGTTTTGATTTGTGTTTCTTAGATTTCTAATTAGCTGGATTGTTTTGGGTTTGGTTTTGTTTTTGAGACTGAGCCTGGCTGTGTTGCCTAGGTTGATCTTGGAACTCCTTGGCAGAAGTGATCTCTCACCTCAGCCCCCCAAGTTCTGGAATTACAGGTGGGTGCTACCACCCCAGCCTCTGGATTGTTTTCACATGGTTATTTATTGCCAGTTTGTGTTGTATCTTTTGTGAATTTTTGTCCCTTTGCTCTTTTTTCTGTTTGTTCATTTTAAAATTTGGAAAGTTTGGGGCCGGGGATGTAGCTCTGTGATGGGGCATTTGCTTAGCATAGGCGAGGTACTGGGTTAGATCCTTAGCACTGAAAAAAAAAAAAGAAAGAAAGAAAGAAAAAAAAAAAGCAAGCTGAGGGCAGGGGATGCAGCTCAGTTGTTAGAGTGCCTGCCTCACATGCACACGCCCTGGGTTCAATCCCCAGCACCACCAACAAAAAAAAGGAAAAAAGTAAGCTGAGAAGTGGATTTCACTGTTTGGGGCATTGTGCATAAAGTGCAAGTATTAACTACTGTCTTGCAAATGTGTTTTCCCAAACTGTACATGAACATCCCTCCATCTCCCCAGAGTGCTTCCCTTCCTCCTGCTAGGCAAGCATTCTACCATTGGCGCAGGTCCCTGAAGCCAGAATTAAAAGAAGCAGTCAATATAGATAGGTAAATTGGGGCTGGGGATTTGGCTCAAGCGGTAGCGCGCTCACCGTGCGTGGGTGCGTGCGTGCATGCGTGCGGCCCGGGTTGGATCCATACAAACAAAGATGTTGCGTGCGATGAAAACTAAAAAATAAATATTAAAAGTTCTCTCTCTCTCTTAAAAAAATAGATAGATAGATAGGTAAATCAGGTCAGATCAAGGAGGCCAATTTGGGTCTGGGAAGTTGGAGAGGGATTGAAATACTACTGTCTTCAGAGTTAAAAGTTGTTAATTACACCCCCTTCCTGCCCAGATCACTCCACTTGGCCCCTCCAGCCCATCTGCTTCTCACCTTTTGGCCATCCCACTGAACATCTCCTGGGCCTAGTCACATAAGCAGGAAGGATAGAAATAAGGGAAAGAGAGCAGGAGAACAAAGGAAGCCTAGGACATATTTTAAAAGGCAGAATGCCCGGCAGGGTGGTGCACATCCCAGTGGCTAGGGAGGCTGAGAAGGAGGATGGCAAACCCAAAGCCAGCCTCAGCAAAAATCGAGGCCCTAAGCAACTCAGTGAGACCCTGTCTCTAAATAAAATACAAAATAGGGCTGGGATGTGGCTTAGTAGTTGAGTGCCCCTGAGTTCAATCCCCAGTACCATCACACACACACCCCACAGCCTAACTAAATAAATAAATAGGGCAGAAGGCACTCACTTCCCGGGAAACCAGGATACCAGCTATGGCCCCTTTCTCCCTCCCAGGAGAAGTCTGTTACCCCTTTTTAACCAAACCCTGCTTTATATTTTGTCTGTTTTGTTTTTGGTGCTGGGGGGGGATCGAACCCCAGAACCTTATGCATGCAAGGCAAGCACTCTACCAACTGAGCTATATCCCCAGCCCAAACCCTGCCTTATATGCTTGCTTCAGTGTGCTTCAACATGCGAGGAAGAAGAACCAGTAACCAGCAGTTTCATCCCCAGCCTTGATTTTTTTAATTTCTGAAGAACGGTTCATTTTTATGTGCTAAAACCTATCGGTCTTTATGATTTCTCCCTTTAGATTTCTGTTGAGAAGCCACGCCCATCCCCAAATTACATTCTAGTTGTAGTTTTTTTCCACAGAAAATTAATTTTAGTACCTAGTCATTCTCTCTCCACATACAGATTCTGTATTTTTTTAAAAAAATATTTTTAGCTGTAGATGGACACAATACCTTCATTTTGTTTATTTAGTTTTTTTATGTGGTGCTGGGGTTGCGAACCCAGTGCCTCATGTATGCTAGGCAAGCACTCCACCACTGAGCTACAACCCCAGCCCTTGTTTTGTTTTTTGTGTCCATACTGGGAATTAAACCCAGGGTGCTTTACCACTGCACTACATCCCCAGTCCTTTTAAAAATTGTTTTGTTTTGTTTTGTTTTGTTTTGAGATAGGGTCTTGCTTAGTCGCCCATGCTGCCTCCTGTCCAGAAGTCTTCAGAACAGCTGGGATCACAGACCTGGGCCACTGCACCCGGGTTTTTTTGTTTTAATTATTTTTTCAAAACTTCTTGGCTGGACCCACTCACTTTTTTTTCCAAATGAACTTTAGAATTTCTTGTCAATATTTTAAAGACCCTGCTAGCATTTGGAGAGAATGAAGATTCATGTCTCTCCATGTATTTGAGTATGATCTTACCTCTGATAGTCAGTTGTTTATTTGTAGATAAAATGCATGACTTTTGGGCTGGGGTTGTGGCTCAGCAGTAGAGCTCTTGCCTCGAATGTGCAGACCCTGGGTTTGATCTTCAGTACCACATAAAAATAAATTAATTAAATAAAGGTATTGTGTCCAACTAAACTTAAAAATATTTTTTTAAATGCATGGCTTTTATACTTCCCATGAAATAAAATTCACAAATATGAAAAAAATCTCTGCCAGATTATAAGGTTTGGGGGTTCAGAAAATATGGTCACAGTATATTGTGGAACAAATGTCTGGTTTGGTGGTTACAGAAGAATGGTTTTCCTTCCAACAATACAATAAGTAGACCTTCTGGTTTTTACCTAAATGGCTTGTAATAATACTTAATAATTAGGGAGTCTTTATTTTGTGTCAGGCATGGTGATAAATATTTCACACACCTGTCTCATCTGATCCTCTCAGTGACCCTATAAAACATTCTCTTCTGATCCTCATTCTACAAATGAAACAACTGCAGAGCACAGGGCACATGCCTGTAATCCCAGCTGGGGAGGCTGAGGCAAGAGGATTTTGAGTTCAAAGCCAGCCTCAGCAACTTAGCAAAGCCCCAAGCAACTCAGCAAGACCCTGTCTCTAAATAAAATATAAAAAAGAGCTGGGGATGTGGCTCAGCGGTTAAGTGCCCCTGGGTTCAATCCCTGGTACCAAAAAAAAGAAAGAAAGAAAGAAACAACAAAGACCCAGAGATGTTATAGAATTTGCCCAAGGCCAAACAGCAGATAGTAGCTGGTTGGAACCTAAACAATGCCACTCAGCCACACTTTATTTTGGGGGGATTGGAGATTGAAC